CTTCAAATTTAACAAAACAACCAACTAACTCTACTTAACACACCTGGGAATTAAAAGCTTCAAATCAGAGACTTCATAACACACACGGTAAATAAATGAATATTACAAATGAATCTTTCAAAACACACTCTGACTGCACTTCAGCACATTCATAGCTTCATTCTACATATTAGAGCCATTGAGAAATGAAAGCACAATGCAATTATAGCCTTAATTACATTAGACCACATAATTCCCTGGCTGAAAAAATGCGTCTCCCAAATGGAAAGGACAGGCTGATGGAGTACACAAAAGAAAGAGGGAAAATAAGGAGAGACAGAGTGCCAGATGCAAAATATGGAGACATGGTTAGGCTTCCTTTATTGGAAGATGAACTTCTTTTCAGTTATTTATAGATCTGATGACATAAGACCTAAGGAGCTGTCAGTCACATACCAACATTCTTAAGTGACATTCTGCAGTCTGACCTTTAACCCGATCATACAGGGACAGACTGAAAGAGAAAGCTGTCAACTAATGTTACTGCTGTACGATCACAGAGAGGGTCCTCAAAAGAACCAAACAATCTGAAACAAGTCAGCAATGAGCATTATTATATTTTACAGTGTATACACCAATAATGCATAATATTATGACTTTCCTCAGCCTAGAGTGGGCCTTATAATCAAATGTCTTTCAGTCAGTCCAGTGTTTGATATCAAATGGGAAAAAGCTGCTGAATTATCAGACTTTGATCAATGGGAACTTCAATCTCAGACAGGAAACTCCAAGGAAGTTTCTGGTTATCAAAGGGTGAAAAAATATAGTGTAAAGTCAAGATGGGAGCAATACAACAGCTATATTATTGGACATTATAATCCAATAATATGTTAAATAATGTCATTTATTACTGTGTAAAGCTGAATTACCAGCATCATTAGTCCAAACAGGGTCACATGAGGCTTTAGGAATCATTCTAATATGTTGATTTGGAGCTCAAGAAACATGTATTTAAAACAATCTGTGCCACTTAATAATACTATAAAAACATTTATTCATTTTCTTGTCAGCTAAGTCTCTTTATTAATCCGGGGTCGCCACAGCGGAATGAACCACCAACTTATCCAGCAAGTTTTTTACGTAGCGGATGACCTTCCAGCCACAACCTATCTCTGGGAAACATCCACACACACTTATAATCATACACTACGGACAATTTAGCCTACCCAATTCACCTGTACAGCATGTCTTTGGACTGTGGGGGAAACCGGAGCACCCGGAGGAAACCAACGCAAAACGCAGGGAGAACATGAAAACTCAACACAGAAACACCAACTGAGCTGAGGCTCGAACCAGCAACCTTTTTGCAGTGAGGCGACAGCACTACCAACTGCGTCACTGCTTCGCCCCTACTATAGAAACAATATAAAAAACTGGAACATCATTTAATTGTCATTACTATAAGTGTCTTTACTATCACTTTTGTTCAGCTGATTTGTATGCTTATGTTCATTCATGAATATTTTGGAAGGAGAATAAAAACTATAATTGTGAAATGGGATTTTGGTCATACGACACACAAACTCTCCACTAATATTTACCCTTGAGATGAACAGCTGTTTTTTCAAAGATACTCTTATGTAGCCTCATATTAGAAAGCTTCCCACTGTATAAACTAAGCTATTTTTAAATATAATTTTCTGGTTTGATGTCTACACATGTATACATTTACAACAGGTGTAGAGAAATGGCTAGTCACATCAGGGCTTGATTTAAATGTGAGTTGTTATTCAAAACATCATAAGCAGATAGTTTTGAAAACCCATTTACTGATTAACATAAAGAGAAGCAGCTATACAAAGAAAAAAGGGAAAGAAACTGCAAAGAAGGTCAGAACTAATTATTTACTGTTGTTTTCAGCAGAATTTAACAAAACAAGGGCATTATTTTTGAGACTCATCTCTGAGGGAACCCACTAACCTAGGAAGTTTCAGCTGTGAAAAAAATTAAACAAGTTGATTCTGAGATATTCTCTAAAGGACTCAGAACAATTGTATCTCTGGGCCATGTTTAGAAAGGTAAACTTTCTCTCACTCACAATCAAGTCCATAAACCCCTAAGCACTGTAAACCCTAATAAGTTGGAATAACAACAAGTTTAAGCTACCAAACTTGAAGATTAAGTCAACAAAAATAAGTTTTTTAGGATTTTTATAGCAACGCAGTGGGGCAGTGAATGTATTAAAACATATGTTCGTTTTTTGTAAAAATTCATAATGTATTAATGGCAAAAAAAAAAAAAACTAATTTGTGCATCTCCTTACTTCCGTGTCTGCAGCTGGGGTTTTCTGGGAAATTTTCCTACCTCTTGGTTTCATGTGTGGTCCTGAAAAATCTTAGGGTGCTTTCACATCTGTAGTTCGCTTAATTTGGTCCGAACCAAGCGCAATAAATGATACATTGTTGCATCTTCTGCCGTCCTTGAGTCATTTTCACATCACACTGCTGGCTTTGGTCCGAACCAGTTGAAACGAACCAAAATGCAGTCATCTGAAAAGTCATCCACATCTCTCAATCTCTCATTGGCCAGATGTTGTTAAACATATTTCCTAAACTGCTTATTGATTGGTCAGAATTCACGTGCGGGAAAATGCCAGTGTACTCCCGCAGGTAAACAAAACCTTTTACTCTGGAGGGACTGCGCTGGCTACTTGTATCCCTGCTTTAGACAAACTATACATTACGAAAATGAAGCGCGGTCGGGGCTGGAAAACAGTGTTTAATGCATCGCTCGTCACTTCAGGAGGAGGCGTGAATTAATTTAGCTAAACTGCAACATGGTCATCTTGCGGAAATATTACCAACGATCCATCAGGTAATGTTTTCCCCTCTCTCTCTCTGTGTTGGTAAAGCGCTGTCAACAAATATTGTTCCTCCATATTCCATAATGCACAGAGCATCGGCCTACGGCAGCTGAATTAGTCCAAAACGCGCAGTACTTTTTGCGGTTGGACCTGTTTTAGCACGGATCATATTCTCACCACAAACGAACCGCTCCAGGGTTCGTTTGAAAGCGTACCGAGACCACCTCTTCAAGCAAGTCTCGGTATGCTTATTTGGTCTGCTTTTAGTGCGCACTCGAGTACGACTGCTGCATTCTTACCTGCCCAAACGAACCGCACCAAAAGGGGAAACGAACTGTAGTGCGATTCAATCGAACTAAATAAGGCAGGTGTGAAAGCACCCTTAGTTTCGAGGGCTATCTAATTATTGTTAATTATTAAATGTTAAAAATTAAATGTTAATTATTTACATTTGAATAATTCTGACTTCAACTGTATATATTATAGTCTTATGCCTTAACTGAATAGGACAGTATAGAGATCAGACAGGAAAGCACATGGCGAAGAGAATGAGAACTGAAATCTGGGAACTGAATCTCTTAACTAGATTAATCTTGAAAAAAGACAAAACACCTAGTTTTAACATTTATCCTGATTTTATAGTCTGACGCAGCATGACAGAAATAACTAGAAATCTGCACTGGGAAAAAAAAGGTGACCCAACTTTTGAACTGACTCAACTTTCAACTCAATTATTGCACTTGACTTAATTTGAGTAAACTCAAAAATGTCCAGAAGTTTGTTGTCTTAAAATTTTAAGTTGAGGAAGCTTTTTTACAGTGTGCTGCAACTCATTCAGTTTAAGTTCAGCTTAATATAATTAGATTTTGAGTTCACAAAATGTTTTCTATTAAATGTGAACCTTCATCAAAATTGGGAATGTATTGTCATTTATTCATTCATTTTCTTTTCGGATTTGTACCTTTATTAATCTGGGGTCGCCACAGCGGAATGAACCGCCAACTTATCCAGCATCTGTTTCACGCAGTGGATGCCCTTCCAGCAGCAACCCATCTCTGGGAAACATCCATACACACTCATTCACACTCATACCCTATGGACAATTTAGCCTACCCAATTCACCTGTACCGCATGTCTTTGGACCTGTGGGGGAAACCGGAGAACCTGAAGGAAACCGACGCGAATGTGGGGAGAAACTGCAAACTCCACATAGAAATGCCAACTGACCCAGCCGAGGCTCGAACAAGTGACCTTCTTGCTGTGAGGTAACAGCACTACCTACTGCGCCACCGCGTTGCTTGCATTGTCATTTGAAGTTTGAAAAAAAAAAAGGTTTTTATATTTAAATGCCATACTGTCAACACAACATATTTTTAAACATGTTTAAACATGTTTACCTATTTATACAAATTCATTACATATACATAAAAAATGCTGCATGAATTGTAAATAGTAAGAAGTTCTAAATGTGTATAGAGAAGAGAAGAGAAGAGAAGAGAAGAGAAGAGAAGAGAAGAGAAGAGAAGAGAAGAGAAGAGAAGAGAAGAGAAGAGATACAGTATAAGCAGAAACGAAAGGTCTATGAAAATCTTGCAGCTGAAGCACTTTGATCTCCTGGCAGACCTGTCACAAACTCTAACGTTAACAAGTCATGCAACACACACACACACTCACACAAATTCCTGCTCCACATGATCAAGCAAACAAATCCAACTTAATTTGTCTTAGAAGTGCCCTCCGCTCTGAACTATGAGGTTCTGAGTGCAAGTACATATAGAAAACTAGCACACACACACACACATTTACTGACCAATCGAGCAAAATAATGGCAGTCATCTCCAATTTCCGTTTGCTACAAGCCCACAGAGGTCACTGGTGGGAAATTACAGAGCTTTCAGTGCTCCGCTCTTTGGGATCTCTCTTTTATCAATGCACACGGCATGAAATATGAGACCTCAGGTGAAGAAATACTATCAGGATACACCCTAGAATAAGCACAATGTAATAAATATAGAGGAACAGGCTGTTTGTTCCCCAGCTAATGAGTCTTACGTTGCAAAAGACGTGTCTGTGAAAACAGCTGCTGTGGGCCAATCAGCAGTGATTACTCAGCAGCACTCAGAGTCTGTCTGTAAATTTAAGTGTCTGGATGACTTACCCTGATTCTTCTCATAGCAGCGACAATCTCCATGCGACTGTTGGGTCTTGGGACATCTAGACTGCCAACATACTGCAACACAAAAATGAATGTTAGATGAAGAGTGTTCTGTTTCAGTGCTAGAATTAACTGCAACTGAGGACTTGCATAGTCTAATATTAACGAGGCAGCTTCATTTGCACAACACACACGCAAACAGACTTTCTAGGTTAATGAGTAGCCCAATTTCTCAGTCTCTATTTATTTTTAAATGTTCGTCTAAATCAGTGGCTCTCAGCTGGCTTTGCTTCAACACCCACATTTAGACAAGTGGTGCTGGTCAACAAAAATGTCCTTCAAGGGGTGGTCCATTATGATATCATATTTTAAACTTTAGTTTATGTGTAATGTAGCTGTGTGAACATAAACAACATCTCTGATGTAATACGCTGTAAGTTCAATGCAAAGGGAGGCATTGGCTTTTACAGAGTTAGATTAGCAAAGCCTAAAGTGAATGAAGTTTGGGTACTACAAAAAAATACATCCGGGTTAGTGAAATCACAAGCGCTTCAGGTTATGTGCATTTACCAAGCGCAGCAAATGGGCTAAGTTATAGCAGAAAAAGCTAAAATTCTGTCCTAACGCTGCTAATTCCACAGAGCTTGTTCTGTTTCTGTATTTGGGCTTCCAAAGGACATGACACAAAGAGAGAAAGGCTTACAATTTAATTTTAATACTGTTCCAGGGAACTATAAAAAATACATAGCTAGCATTTGACAAAGGACAGATTCCAAAATCTCTCCCAGTTCAGTGCTGGATTCGGCTAAAAACTCTTTAAAGGAGGAGCTGCTCCAACCATAATAGTAGAAACTGTGGATTGTGAGCCACAAGCTGTAAGTATTTTCATTTGTTAAAATTGATCAATGACATGCACAGTGTCTAGAGTTAACGATATGTTGTAGCAAGGACATAAACAAGCATTTAAACAATGGGAAATGCTGTTTGGCACCGGTAACAATTTAGCTACAATTTTATATTTATCAGACAGTATTTGCACAAGAACAGCACGCGTTAAAAGAGGTGTGATGCGTCCTTGTGATGTGGAGCCAATCTGCGAATTATAGCCCATTATGTTAGCTGACCAATTAGAGCCTCTTAGGGGCGGTCTTTTAGAGGAACTAGGAAATATGACAGTCGTTTTCATGTTAGCTGAGTAGCTGTATATAATTAAAGTAAGATATATGAAAAGATAACGTGATTTTTTTTGAACAAATGAAGCATGAGCACAAATTGCTTTACTATTTACAGCCCATAATCACAACCAAGCCTTAAAATAAACTTTGTATCACTCTTTTAAAATTTAACACTAAAATTGATTAATATTATATTTACAAATAACTGCAGAGGCCCAATAGGCGCAATTATTACATTTAATGATAAACTGTACATATTTTCTCAGCTTTCATTTTTGCAAATCGAGCAATACTATTAAGGTCAATTAATGTTTTTAATTAGTCAGATTCTGAATTTCTTGTCAGAAACTAAGCATGATAAGTGCAAAATGATTCTTAAACTGAAAAATCTACTTTTATTTTTAATCTCAAAAAACTTACATTTTTTAAAATTCATTTTAATTAGATTTATTTTCCAAATGTTTCTAAACATACACACACACACACACACACACACACACACACACATATATATATATATATATATATATATATATATATATATATATATATATATATATAACAAGTACAAGAGTAGAAATATTTATTAACTCTTTGTATTGTTTCCACTTTGTGTAAAATTCACAGATATCACAGGAAATGCTCATAAACTCAAGCTAACTATTTTTTTCAGGAAATGTCAACAGTGCTCAGCATAAATGAGTACACCCCTTTTTGAAAATGAATATATTCATCAGTGAATATATTTATCATTAAATATAGCCAATCAATTGGAGTGTTTTTTAAATAAAATGTTTTTATTAAACAATTACATCAAATGAAATAAGAGTTTTGGTAATCTTACATAGAAAGATAATACACAAACAAAAAAAAAACTTTTTTGTTAGATTAATTTTTTAGCTTTGGTACTGACTAATCTAATGTATATGCTAGGGCTACACGAACAATTGAAACCTTCACACCTTCAAATGACGTTAAAAGTGTCACATACTGTATTTATAAGGTATAATTCACCTAGAAATGTTATTTCTGTCTTCATGTAATGATGTATTTGTGGCCGTGAAATCACACGTGAGCTGACTACCGAGAACACGCATGTGCACGCATGACGCCTACTTTAGTGAACACAATCTGCATAGGCTGTGAATAACAGGTAATTAAGTTGTAAATAACGTTCAGTTTGTTGCGCAGAGCAATCGTTTGAGAGCCGTGCGAGAGGTTTGATTCGCATGTATGTGTTTTTTCTCACAGTGACAGCATCCATGAGCCGCACTCGGAGGTGAAAGTGTAACCTGTGCGCACGTCATTTAAATGATCATATGGCATTTTAGAGTTATGATAACGACAAGCATTTGATATGTTTTTTTTTTCTTTCATAGCGAACCCAAAGTGTTGAGCATGAAAATAAATGTTTACTGTGTCAGTATAACAACCCAAGCCTATATATAATGTTAAATATAATGCAAGAAGGAATCTGATGACAAAACTCTAATTTTACTAGTGAAAACAAATGGTCTAATAATTTTGTCAATAACAGATGACAAGCACATATCTCAAACATAATAAATCAACTTTATAATTATGAATAGTTATATTCTGATCTCATCATTTTACTGTGAATTAACAAACAGGACATATCGAAAGTCTGTTCAAGTCCACCATAATAACTATACAAAATATAGCATTTTAAGCAACAGTAGACCCACACACAGGCCTTATATTATTTATTGTTGTTTTGCCATATGCTTGAGAATTAACAATATTAGGCTAATCATATTAACCTTTATTTTACATTTATAGAATCGTGAGAAAATCGTGATCTTGTTTTTAAGCAAAAAAAAAAATTGTGATTCACATTTTCGCCAGAATCGTGCAGCCCTAGTATATGCCCATATCTAATATTAGAACACTGTATATATTGTACAATGTCCTGATTAGGATGATATAATATTCAAAACCAGATACATTAAAAGGTTAGCCATAACAGAAGATGTTCAGGTTCAAATCAAATTTACAAAAATGAACCATTCTATATCTACAACATCCACTGACCGAACATTACAATTCCTAAATGGGAATAGTACTACTCTAAAGCTGCAAATGACAAGCTTAACCAATCTGTGTTTACAAACAGCATAGTGTAGTTCTTTCATGCCTGTAATGACCTGCTCTGGTGAGATGTTGACCTTAAGCACTTATCTCCAGCTTCTAAAGTCTAAATCCAGCTGAGAGAGACAGCAATACTGACAGTTCAGCAGAAAATAGCAACTTATACAGCTGATTTAAGCTTTGAAAGACAAGACCGCGAGACTGCAGTCAGAATGTGTGACTGTGAATGTGAGTGGTTCTAGGTCTTGGCTTTCCAGCTTTGGCCAATAAAATTCCTGGAAGATAATCCTGCATCACAAATTGGAGCTAAAATTACTCAGCAATAGGCTTCTGAGTGGCTCCGTATACAAAGCTTTAGGTTTCTTCAGGCATTTAGCCGTCTGCAAATTTGAAAGGCTTACAGATAAGCTCCTTGGGAAAACACCACTATTTGTGACATATATGAGACAACAGACTGTTATATAATATTAAAGAAATGTCCAAGCAAATAGGCAGATGTGTTTAAGGAATGACCATGTTAAAAATAGACACAAGAGTTATCTGGAAGCTTAAAGGATGAGCTGACTGACTGTAATGGACACAAATCAAATATTTATCAATGGTCATAAGCGGGCAGCTCAGCAAAAGTTGGCTGAATAAATATAGGACATATGATGACATCTGATGATGATGAATTTAGTAATTTTCAGATGTCATGTTTTAAGTTTTGTATTGTATTGCTCAAGTGCAAAAAACATGATTTATAGAAATAAATAAACTGGAATTATTTTTAATAATTTTGGATTTGTTTTTAATTCTTGGACTTTAATGTGTGATTTTTTGTTAGATTGATTCTAGTTTTGGCTTCGTTACTGACTAATCTAGTGTATGCCCATATACAGTTGAAGTCAGAATTATTAGCGCCCTTGAATTATTAAGCCTGTTTATTTTTTTCTCCAATTTCTGCTTAATGGAGAGAAGTTTTTTTCAACACATTTCTAAACATAATAGTTTTGATAACTTATTTCTGTTTAATGTTAATGTTTAAAATTAATGTTTAGAAAAAAATATATAGCTTAAATGGGCAAATAATTTTGACCTTGAACTGTTTTTTAAAACATTTAAAACTGCTTTTATTCTAGTCAAAATAGAACAAATAAGAATTGCTTCTGAAGAGAAAAAAATATTATCGGAAATATTGTAAAACATTTCTTGCTCTGTTAAACAACATTTGGCAAATATTTAAAAAAAAAAAAAAAAAATATATATATATATATATATATATATATATATATATATATATATATATATATATATATATATAATTTAATAATTCTGACTTTACTGTATATTATTGTAAAGCATCCTATAGGACACAGTACATGCAATGTCCTGATTAAGATGATATAATATTCAAAACCAGATATATTTAAAGGTCAGAAAGCATAAACCTTCACAGAAGATGGTCATGTTATGTTGTTCATTGAATTGCTCAAGTGCAAAAAAAACATGATTTATAGAAATAACTAAAACTGGAATTATTTTTTGGAATAATCATAAGTCTTATTTTTACAGTGAGCATTGAAAAGTAAAATTGCAATAAATGATTTCTGAATAATCCAAAAATGATGGCTATCTGTTTTTGTAAATAAACTCTTCATATCTTGGTCTGTATAGGCAATAATAAAAATTAACTCTTCATCGAAAGTTTTATTTTACATCACAGCATTGGCATCAATGTGGCATATTGCCACTTCCAATCCTAAACAAGAACATGTATTCTTTAAAAACCTCACAAGCATTAACTGGAAATTAATGTTTAATGTTCTCACTACAAAGGCAGCTGAATGTGTGTTGAGAGAAAAAAAATGACTGAATAGGGGTTTATTCAATGAAATGTTAATGATCCAATGTCAAATTCAAATCTAACCACAGCTTCTAAAGAAACCAAGAGTTTTAAAGACATCCCAGCTCAGTTAAAGTACTTGTGTAACCAGCCATGCAGCCATTAATGGGAAAGTTGTGCCAAAAATAGAGCATGAGAAAAAAAAAGCGCTCTACATACAGGTCAGTGACTTTTAGCTTGGATATATTAATTTAATCAAAAATACATGCATTTCTTGGAAATAAGCATGATGAACATTTTCCAGTAATAGTTAATTAAAATTTTAACTTTTATTTCACTTTTTCTGACTTAAAGGTAAAGTTCACACCAAAAGTTATTTTTTGTTCTCATTTACTCACTCTTTTACTTGTTACAAACTTAAAAGAGTTTCTTGTATCAAAAAACACATTTTGGATAACATTTCTAACCACAGTTGAGTGATTGACTTCTAGAGCTGCACAATATTGAAAAAAATAACATTGCAAATTTTTTTTTTATTTTGCGATTTTTATATTACGATATGAATACAATTTCAGCAGATGACTTAATATCTCAATTTCGAAAAATATTTAATATATATATAAAATATAAAAAATATAAAAACTTTAGATCGTTTGGGATGATTCTGCAGGTGGAATGCATCTCCATAAAATCTAATAAACAATCTTCCAAATTTTTGGGGTCCCCTTATACATTTTTGTTGTGGTCTGTGTTATTTGCAATGTGTTTCTGTATTTGAATGTGTTTTGAGAATTTTCATGCATGTGTTTAGTCAAAGATTGATGATTTAATGTTTATTATTTGCATCTCCATAAAATCTAATAAATAGTCTATAAACTTTTTGGGGTCCCCCGACACATTCCAATTGTGGTCTGTGCTATTTGTAGCGCATTTTTGTATTTGCATGTGTTGTGAGTATTTTTATGCATAACAGTCTATAAATGCAATAAAAAAAAACTGAAACTGAAATAAAGTGTTTTATCATTTCCTGAGTCTAACCGTATACAAGTGCAGTAACTGAATGATAAAAATATAAATAATTCAATAAAATGAATCATTGTTAAAGTCACAAATGGTAAATTTTTTACACGTGAATGGTTTTAAAATCACTATACAATCACAGGCATCAAAAACACATGCAAATTCATGTGTTTGCATTTGCATTCAAATAAAATATCAGATTGCGATATTGATGTTGAAATGATTTATTGTGCAGCCCTATTGATTTCCATGTATTTCTTTTTGTTTTGATTATCAACATTTTTCAAAACATGTTATATTATGCAACAGACAAAATAAGCTTTGAGTAAATGACAAATAAATCTTAATTTTGGGGTGATTGACTCAATTGGTTATTTGATATTACTGTATTGAAAATAGGTTAAATTTTTGCCCAACTCATAATCAGCAATCAGGATGGTTGTAAACATGTAAAACACACAAAAAGCATGCCATGTCTTCTAATAATATTAGTTAACTCAATTATATATATATATATATATATATATATATATATATATATATATATATATATATATATATATATATATATATATATATTTAATCTCATTATGAAAAGTAAAGAAACTAATATTGTTATAATATTGATATATATTGATATATATATATATATATATATATATATATATATATATTGAAGTATAAAGCTTACATATAAAAATATGAAAGCAACATAAATTTTATATTTTTAAAAACTTATGAGTTTTAAAAGGTTATGCAATACATTTCTTCCTCTCTGTTTTTCAAATTTGTCATTGATCCTAATGTCTATGTCGGTGGTTTTAGTGCAGCCTGGTGTCTGATGTCATTGCTGCTTCCCAAAACATGATCCTGACTTGTTCTCTGATGTGTAAATCACCTCAGCTACACAGTCAATGACCCATTTCACTTGCATACAAATGACTGCACAAAAGTATCGGTTGGCAGAATAATCAGCAAAAATGACAATAGTGACGTTTACAGAAAAAGAGCCTGTTTCACCTTGGCTTGGAAGTGTATTCCGTGTTGATACGCTTCCTCGTTGTGAAGCGGGACCCGCGAATCCGCCACATCGTCCACCAGGTTGTACCTGTTTCTCCCGTGCATTTTCATTGGGACCCGTCCGGATGCTCGGCGAGGAATTTCTTCTCCAGCACCCCAAGCTTCAAAACTACTGCCAACTAAGAAGATTGCTCTAGTTTAACCAGCCGAAAACAAGTCGCGGATACAAGAGCGACTGAAAGCGAGGGAGCCCATTATAGTAGCAGCCCGGGAAAAGCTCAATGAAATCACAGGCGCTTCAGCACAAAAGAAATGGGTTGGGCGCCTCTTTCCCCCTCTCAGCCCTCAGACATCAGCTGCGTTTATACAAGTCTGGCTTCCACTCAAGTTGCTCAAGTGCCTCAGCGAGGAGAAGTTTATTAAAAGAGGAGCTATGGCGGAATTCTTCACTTCTCGTGTCCTGATGACATGCTTTATTTGCGTTGCTCTCTTCAACCTCTGATGCAATTCTTATGGAGCAAAGTTCCGTGTGCTTTAGGAACAACCGACAAATCTTTCAAACACTACATTTAGCATAATAAAAGCTGCACCACTTCCTTATAGAGTCCCAATTAATTACATGGGACGCAACCTGTTCTTCTGTGTAGACTAGGCCTATAATATATGGATTATAAATTGAAAATATAGCCTAAATCAGGGGTGCCCATATTTTTCGTATGAAGTGCTAAAAAACATACCATTGAGAGCTGTGGGCCGAAGGTAAATATACCAAACTTTATTACAATAAAGTTGCTATATTTCCTAATCTATTTAATTATCAAAATAAATAGAAACATTACTTTAAACCATAACTACTGCAGTATAACTTTCCTAAAATTATAACTCAACGCAATAAAAACATAAACAATCACATTTATTACACAGTGAAGTTATATGCTGAATACAATAAACATCATAGCTTACCATAGGTTAACCATAAACTTTGGCCCTCGGGCCCTATATTTGAGCATCGCTGGCCTAAATGTATCATTTTAAATGATTCACAAAATAATTTTACAAAAAAGTTTTTTTTGACAACCTATGTGATAACAAGCCCCCAGTTACATGCCAAATGAGGTTTTAACTGAACGTTTGCTGATCTGCTGACGCACTCCTCAAACATGCACCTAGAGTTATCTCTCCCTATTCATCTGTGGAGTTGAGTCTGTATTCAAGTCACTGTATACTGCACAAAATTACAGGGAGTGTTGTGATAGCAGAGCTTTTCTATTTTGACACAAGTGCTCCCTCTGCTGCATCACAGGGGCATTGAGGGCACATTAATATATATATATATATATATATATATATATATATATATATATATATATATATATATATATATATATATATATAATAATTTAACTACGGGCACTTCTACTTTCTTTGATCATTTATCCAAAATATACATAATTTTGTTCAAATTTCCCTTTCATTGTCAAACTAACAATAAAACCTACTTAAAAAATGTATACCTATTATATATTTTTTTCATATTATTCAACCTCCTTTTAGGTGTCAAAATCACTGTTTTCACTTCCCAGAGTTTTAAACTTTAACAATGAAAATAGCATTTTAAAATATTATTTATCTGGTAGCTATTAATGTATCTTAATTAAGCACTGTAAAATAATTTAAATATTTTATAGTTATTAATGTGAGACTATTATCAAGTGAGACTATTATCAATATTATTTTTTATGCAAGATATAGCTGTGGCACAGTATCAGTGTCATTTCCACCACAACACTGTAATGTTGTTTTAAAAAGTTTGTGTGAAAGATTATTTAGGTGGTTTCTATGAAAACAAATTGTGCCATCTGAGAACATGATTAAGATAGAGGAAATTATTTTTAACAACACTTGAAGAAAAATCAAGGTAAATATTGCTTGATAAGGAAATACATTTATTCTACGTCATTTCCAAACATGTTGTACTTGCAAAGATGTTTTTAAAAACCAAACAAAATTAAGGTAAATAAGAGTATTTTCTATAGATGAAAGCTAATTTTCATTTTTCACAATAAACTGTTGAAATGTGATTTCCACCACTGCCATTTCCATCACCACACACATTTAAAAAAAAAGAAAACTTTAAAAGTTCTTATCACACATTAAAAGTGGAATAACAATTTATGAGTTCATGCTCTATTTAATATAAAAATTCAGTGTAAAAATTTTCTTATAAACTCTTAACCAAATTAATTTAAAGTGTCAAGAGTGTGACAGGTGTACAGTTCAGCATTTGGTCCTAAGAGACTATTTATTTCATTGACAAATGTATAATTACTGTATTTATTTGTGAAAAGATTGTTTAAACTAGATAGAAAAAAAATATCTTGGGCAATGTTTGGCTAGCATAATTTATTTAATTTTTAAAATAAAATCTGTATATTGAGATGTGGTGGAATTTACATTTGTTCAGTTCACGATGGAAAACATGTTAAATATAAACAATTTCTTATCTTACCTACGTTTGTCCTCTTACAGATCTTAAAAATAGACAAATTGTTTAAACTCATGAGGCTATATGTTATGTTAATTTTGAACAAGTTTTTTTTTTTTACTCAATTTCACAAGGCTAAAAGGGCCGTAGTTCAATAATTGCCTATATATATATTTCTATATATATATTTCTTCAAAAATTATTTATCACATGACTAGGCACAAAGGACCAGATACTGTTTACATGTTATGTTTTTGTAAGTTTTTCCATTTGTTGCAACACATTAATATATAGTGACATACTTTAAGACCTACGGTTTTGACAATAAAACACTAACAGATACAGCATAATAAGTGCATTATTACAAATGAACACATTAAATGCTGAAATTCATGTTATTATTCCATCATATTTCTGGTTGCTACAATGTAAGGGCCAAATTAAACAAATAAATAAACAAAGTAATAGGGTTAGGCAAACCATCGTTTTTTACCAATAATTCACAAGCCTCTCCTACAAATGAGCACTGGAATTATGATCGCCGGACAGTATTGCCGTACAGTGCAGTATTGCCAAAAATGCAAAGAGTAAAAATGTTACTATTTACTTTACCTGCTGGGCAAGTTGTAACAGACAGGGTGTTAGTTGTAACACGTGCATATAAAGGCAGATTTTACACAATTAATTTAAATTCAGTTTACTTCAAATAGTAGCTATATTTATATATTTACTCAGTAATTGGCTCATTCGTGTGCTTTTACCCACGTGGGGTGTGGGCGGGGCTGTGACTTGCGCCGGAAATGGCTGCTGGACCAGTTGGCTGCCCGCACTCAAGGGACTGTTTTCCATTACCCCTGTTCCCATCCCTTCTGTCTATGTTGTGTCTTGCCGGTGTGCTTATGCTAAGATAGGGCTGTTTTTCTCCCTTTTTTCACTTTGTCCTAATCAAGGGCAAGCTGAGGGGGTGTTTTTTAGCCTAACTGTCCAAATGTATCTTTCTTCGTTTCTAAATGCTACCTCCTAAGATCTGTCTCCCCTGAAAAGTTGTTTGTGATGTTTTGTGTATGGTCTGGGGGGTCCAATCTCGCTATACGAAAGTGTAGTGACAAATAAATTGAATCTGAATCTGAATTACTTTTTTATTCTACACAGCACTGTATGTTTATTTATTGGATAACACATTTCAATCTATTTGTTTTATTATCCATTTATCCATTATTATACAATGCATTTAGTTGCATTATTAGCAATAAAAACAATTCTATTAAAACAATGTTTTCTATAAAAATAATAATAATAATAAGTTCTCAACATTACACTCCAAATTCAAACAATTATTTTGTTTGTAAAATAGGTGTCCAACAGTGTGTGGCTTAATTGTAACACCCTGTAACAACCAACCTCACTGTCTCATGTTTTCCTAAAATCTGGGTAGCAGTCACTGTGTGTTTCTTACATCTTTCAAAATGATTTAATCTTTTAGCCTAAAAAATGGTAACCACCACAATATAAGATTTTACGTTCATTTTTTCGTAGATAATTTTTTTGAAAAATAAAAATATCGAGTATAATAAAAAATACTTTCATGCTTCAAAAATGGTTTTCTCCTGTGTTTCTCATCCAACTTTCACCGAAATCTTTCAATAACTGGCAGGCAGGAAGATGTCTGCTGACACTGTGGTGAAAACCTTGGAAGCATAACATGGTTAACTTTGAGCAAATACCTTAAAACTCTGTGTTACATTTAATCCCGCATTTGTGTCCCACGCTCCCCTAATAGAAATAAAAGAAAATGATATAATAGGCCCATTTATTCATTTCAGCTTAGTTCCTTTATTAATCCAGGGTCACCACAGTGGAATGAACCGCCAACTTATCCAGCACATGTTTTACGCAGTCTATGCCCTTCAAGCTGCAACCCATCTCTGGGAAACATCCATACACACTCATTCACACTCGTGCACTTGGGATAATTTAGCTTACCCAATTCACCTGTATTGCATGTCTTTGGACTTGTAAGGGAAACCGGAGCACCCGAAGGAAACCCACGCGAACGAAGGGAGAACATGCAAACTCCACACAGAAACCGAGGCTCGAACCAGCGTTCTTCTTGCTGTGAGGCAACAGCACTACCTACTGCGCCACTGCGTCGCCTAGGCCCATTGAACAATATATTTTATTCATATTTTATTATTACATATAAATACCTTTTTATTACTAACGTTACTACTATTTAATGTGTTTACACAATCATCCCGCTCACTGATTTTTCGCTTCGCGTATAGCTTGACCGCAATATGTTGCTGTCATGTGCCTCGACGGCTTCCGTCGGTTGCGTTGCGTTGTCAACAGGACCAAAACACCAGCCGCGACAGCAGCACACGGGAGCTTAACTTCTGGTGTGATCGCTGGTCATCACCTTATCTGTCCGCCTGCATTAACTAAACCAAGTCTTGGGAAACAGCAGGTAAACTGGAAGCACGCGATGCCTTCGTTTAGCGATGCGGCGTTTGTTTAAAGGCGCGAGAGCAGTCGATGCCCCTCACCGGCACTTTAGAACTGACCGAAACTGACAGGGGGAATGCGCTGATGCGCCCAGCCATGCCCCGCTCCCCCCTTTCATATATCAATGCCGCAATGTGTGCCGTTAGTTGAGTATTTTCGTAGAGAATGGGATGAATTAAGCACGAACGTGTTTATATGCAGCGTTAGTGTTGTTTTTATAGGCGATTAAGAGCCTCTCTCTCTGCAAAATCGCAAGCTGGACAGCTCTTGTGCCCGGAGCCACTCCTGTCCCGTTAGATCGCCATCAAAAACACTCGGCACATTGTTAGTGATGTGCTATCTGTCAGCGCTCATAAAGCTTTTATAATGCTGAGATGTAATCTAACCATGGAGTCGACTCGTCTTGATGCTACTTTATCAGACTCCATATTTGGCTATTTTATAAACCGCTTTACTAGTTTTATGCTTTAGTTTGGGAATGTTTGCACCTCGAGCTAGTGTATCAATCTAACATATTCAGCAACCTAGATGAGATA